AGTGAGAACATTGTGCTCTCATTATTACATGACTAATTCTTGGAGAGTTGCGTATGCTGAGACAATATTTCCTCTATCGAACAAAGTCGAGTGGGAAGTTCCCGACCATATTTCCCCACTCAATACATTATCGTCATCTCTCATTGAACCGCGTGGTCCTGGACGTTCAAGTACGTCTAGAAAACTATCTACCGGAGAATTTTCTCAACTGCGTAGGTGCAGCAGGTACAAATAATAGGGCATACTCCCCAATATTGTACAAGTCAAATTCCCCTAACTGATAGTTAGACCATTTTGTAATGTTGTCGATCTGAAATAAACAGTATTTACATTTATTTTATGATATTTCAAATTACATCGTACTTTAATAAGCAATTGTTTCACAAAATAAAAAAATTTAATGTATAAAGAATAATAATTTCGACGATCGTACGTACATTACAAATAATAATTACAAAAAATTTAAATTACAAATAATGCTGAAAATATTTACAAAATAATTACAAATAAAGAATAATTATAATAAATTTATGGATCACCATTAAAATCGTATAAGTCGTACATACATTACAATATACTTGATTTCAAAAATGCCATAATCGCCCTTGCAAATGAACAATAATGTATTAGTTCAATTCCAATTATGTAAAACCTAATTTAAAAATTTAAAAATAAATTTACAAACATTTACAATATGGACTGTCTTGCAGTTGTCGTGTCCCACATGATGGCTAATCCGTCATGCACAGTTAAGTCCGCCTGTCTAGCCATCCGAGGAACAAGCACAACCACTGGCTCCAAGTTCAGCTCGAGCTGTCCCTGTGTCAGACGTGAGTGATCGAGGTCGTATACATATAGTTATTGAAGCGATCAATGTCGTCGACGATCTCCAGGTGGAAGTGGTCGATCGCAGTCTTCTTGTGGTGACATCGCACCACGCTTTCAAGGATAGACCAAACCTAAATTCAGTCTGTCTAACATCTCGTCACCCCTCCTGATTGCGTCGATCAGCTGAGGCGGAACCACTGCCCCCTATCCGTGAAAGTAAGTATCCTGTAGCCTATTTCTTCTCTAAGTCCCGTCACTAACTGCGTCATCGCCCGTAATCTTCAATCCAGTGAACAGTGCAAACTCGAACATGGAGAAGCTAGCGACTTTGTCCCCAAGATTGAAGTGGAGGGTATCGTTGTCAACTAGATTCAGTAAACAACATAAAAGAGCATCGATGATCTGACATGAGTACTGCAAGTCTTTCAACTGGTACAAAAGCCACAGAAATGACTGGCGCAGTATATCTACATGTTGATTATCGAGCAGCTCCAGTACCGTGGTGAAACTGTCAAAGCTACTGTTCCACGTAGCTTTGCCTCACATTCGTCTCAACGCTGTATCTAGATGATAATCCATCCTACAAAAATTGAAACAGAATATTAGAACATTATACAGGAGATAATGGAATGAAGCATAATAATCTAAAATTATGCTAATTGAATCGTAACTACTACCTAAGACACAAATTCACTTTAAAATAAAAATAAAAATTAATATCATAACTACTATACGCCATACGCAAGAATATGAAATTTTTACCCTATTACAAAAATTTAATAATTAAAATTATAATTACATTTAAAATAAAAAATTAAAATTAAGATGGAAATATAAAATTATTCAAATGAAATAAAAAATATGAAAATTTTACCCTATTTCCAAAAATTAATAATTAAAATTAAAATTAAAAAATAAAACTAAAACTAAAATTAAAATATAAAATTATTCAAATTAAATAAAGAATATGAAATTTTTACTCTATTACCAAAAATTAATTTTAATTAAAATTAAAATTAAAATAAAAATAAAAAATTAAAATTAAAATTAAAATTAAAATATAAAATTATTCAAACTAAATAAAGAATACGAAATTTTTAACCTATTACTAAAATTTAATAATTAAAATAAAAATAAAAATTAATATTAGAATTAAAAATAAATAATTCAAATTAAAATGAAAATATAAAATTATTCAATTAAATAAATAATATGAAATTTTTACCCTATTACCAAAAATTAAAATAGAAACTAAAAATTAGAATTAAAAATAAAAATTTGAAATTAAAATGAAAATATAAAATTATTTAAATTAAATAAAGAATACGTATTTTTTACCCTATTACCAAAAATTAATAATAAAAGTTAAATTGAAAATAAAAAAATTAAAATTAAATTATTAAATTATTTAAATTAAATAAAGAATATGAAAATTTTACCTTATTACCAAAAATTAAAATTAAAATTTGAATTAAAAATTAAGTGAACCGAATATAATAAAAATAAAAAATTATTCAAATTAAATAAAAATATGTATTTTACCCTATTACCAAAAATAAAAAATTAAAATTAAAATTAAAATTATTCAAATTAAATAAAGAATATGAAATTTTTATCCTATTACCAAATATTAATAATTAAAATTAAAATTATTTAAATTAAATAAAGAATATGAAATTTTTACCTTATTACCAAAAATTAAAATTAAAATTTGAATTAAAAATTAAGTGAACCAAATAAAAATAAAAATAAAAAATTATTCAAATTAAATAAAGAATATGAAATTTTTACCTTATTACCAAAAATTAAAATTAAAATTTGAATTAAAAATTAAGTGAACCAAATAAAAATAAAAATAAAAAATTATTCAAATTAAATAAAAATATGTATTTTTTACCCTATTACCAAAAATAAAAAATTAAAATTAAAATAAAAAATTATTCAAATTAAATAAAGAATATGAAATTTTTATCCTATTACCAAATATTAATAATTAAAATTAAATACAAATAAAAATTAAATTTAAAATTTATTTAAAATTGATATTAAAAAAATATTATTTAATTTAAAATTGAAAATATTAAGTGATTTAATTTAATTTAAAAAATTAAAAAAAAAAACAAATAAAGGTTGGTTGACTACAATTAACAGTGGTGGGCTGAACAGTCAACCCACGACTGTTAAACCGGCTATTAATAGTTCATTAAAAAGGCTATTAACAATTAGTTTTAACCAGCTGTTGGCAGTCTTTTTTTTTGACAGTTGGCCGGCTGTTAGAGGTCGACTGTCAATAGTCTTCTTCTTCATCTTATCGGATTCCTCCATTCCCAGCAAGATGGAGCTCCCTACACACCGAAACACATCTCACTCTTCACTTATACTCAACATCTACCCTAAATAATACCAACAACATATTGAAAACTCTTAAATTTAACATTCACACCATAAATAATATTCCAAACCATAATTTAATTAAAACTCAACCAAAACTAACATTTACAAGAAGAAGTTCGTCGGCAATCGGGGGTGTCTCGTCGATGAGTTTGACTGTTGATGGACTGGATCCCGACTATGAGTTTTGACACAAAAAAAAAAAAAGAAGGAATTGAAAGGGATGGAGGCGTATTTTTGGACAAATGTCTTTAAATTCGATTTTCTCTCTTTTTTTCTTTTTTTATTAAAATCAGTCAAAGGCCAAAGTGAAAATAGACATGGGTCAACTGGCCATTTCAAATGATTTCTTTCCAGAAAGAGAGATTTTTCATTTCCACAAAATAAAGAACACCTCGCATATTAATTTTTCTTACAAAATACATTTTTTTCTATCTTCTTTTCAACAACACATTTTTCAATAAAATAATATTACACGTAAATTCAATTTTTTTTAATTTTTTAATCATATATTCAACATCAATTTACTATTTAAAAATGCATTCTCAACATTTTAATGGAGCTCAAACAAGATCTTAATTTCTGAGTTTCTTCCATATTTCAAAATACCAAGTTATTGAAGTGGTTGCTCAAGAATTCAAGAACATGTTGAAGCATATTAATAGGACATGCATTTGTTGGGCTATTCGGACTAAGTTTTACAAAATTGGCCTTTCTTTATGCAATAACAATGTAGTTTAGTTGGAATCTGCAAATCAAATTTGCTTTTCTTGGATAAAAAATAAAACGTGTTGGAAAAACTAAAACCCTATTCTTTTCCTTTTATTAGTGCAACAGTTTTGCTACACTTACACCATAGTTGACAGACGTGACAACTTATTCACACTTTTTAACATGACATAGAGTTTTAACAATACATATTCAAATCTATGGCCTCCATTTTGATACCTCAAAGGTTTCAAATCATTGTGTACAACTAGCTTAATTCATTAGTGCAATATGCCTGCTGGGCTAGTCTGGCGAAGCCTAGTCCAACTTGAAACCAGCCTATAGGCCAAGACGAGTCATGGAGAAATATGGTTAGCTGAGCGAACAAATCGAAATTGATTCTTGCTTCTGTAACATTATTATCATACCTGTCCTAATAAAATCTGCAATGTCTTCAGATTAAGTTCCAGCAATTTGGAGCTCAACAGAACGCATGAGCCTAGTTCGTCATGGGAGTTTCATTGCGAGGTAAAGCTGATGAGGACATCCATTTGATTATTTTGGGTCTTATCCAATTGATTGTTTTTGTGTTTTATTATTTTGGACTATATTAAAGTGGGTTTGCATTTATGGGCCTGACCCAAGCCCGTAACTTTTATCTATAAGTGGTTTGTATTGGATGTGAAAGAAAGGCAGGAAACTAACAGACTTTACTGCCCTCACATGTTCTTCTCTGGTATTTTCTTCTTTCCCTTTTCTTCCTCTTTCTTTCCCTGTTTTTTCGTCCCTCGTCTTCTTCTCCTCTTCTTCTGCTATTTCTGTTCTTCTTCTGCTGATGGTGATTTTCTTTCTTATTTATGTTACTTTATGCTACATCAAAATGCCAACCAGTTTGCTAAGCCTAACGCAATGCATGCTAGGTAAAATTTATAACGAGCACAACAATTAGAACAAGCAAATGCAATGTACAATGACAGAACAAGAACTTGAACAAATGTGAAAAAGACAATATAGTTAGGCATTTAGCATATAGACCTACCATTTATGCTGTCTGAAAGACAAGTTTAAAAAGGTTAGGGAACTCAAACTGTCATTGCATTAATGAAAATTCCTTACATTGGATAAACTAACAATATCCAACTAATTTCAAACGCACACAAAATGAAACTTGCAGAGTCATAACTTTTTAAGCAAAAAATTTACGTTCATGTCTCGTTAGCCCTGTAGCAGATAAGGCTAATCGCTCCTAGACTTCAAGAAGGCTTCTCACTCCATTCAAAATTTAATTGGTTCAAGAAAAACAATATCATTGACATATCCATGTTGGAAATCCGTAGTTCTACTGTTCTTGCTGGTGATATCCTGATTCTGCATATGGTCTAATGAATGTCCTCCTCCACCAGACCTCGAAAGCCCTCTGAAGATTTGGACAGTTATCGCCAGCCTTCAGAAAACTTTCTAACCAAAAAAGTAAAATACTTTGCTGGTCCTCCAAAGGTAGCGTAAGGATTGTCCTGCCAATTCCTTCCTCCACAACCTTCCTGTCAAATGACCTGCTTCCATGTTGTAACCAGTTATAGTCATTGATCAATGGCTGTAGCCAGGTTTGCAATAGTAAGTGACGAGTATCCTTAGATGGAAGAAGCTCCCCTCTTCCTATTCCAACAAACAGCCTTGCCGTAATCGTGCTTACATGGTGGCGTGACATGATCGGAAGTTTGTAATGAAGTGAAGCCAATTCTTGCTGTCTAGCCCACATTACTGCAAATTCATCGGCTTCTTTCCAATCGGCTAAAATATCGAGCAACCATGTGAGATTATCAGCCTCTATGGCCATCAACTTCACCACCGGTTCTCCATAATCAACTGGTTTGTTGGTAAAATTGGGTTCGGCAGCTTGTTTGAAAAGAGAAAGCAACAAATCTAGGCAGCTTCTGCACGACGCATACAGTGTTTCACGGCATAAGTAGGACAACCCTGAAGAGCTCGGAAGACAGTTATTTTCTCTAAGAAGTTTCAGTACAATGGATTTCGTTTCACGCCGCCCTCTCTCCTCATTGCTCTTGAGTACTAGCTCCAATATATAAGAGAGAGTGTCCTTAGGTGGCTTTGAAATATGAGAAGAAACTCGTTTCAATACGGGTGTGACTCCAATGCCCTCATCTTGGAGACGTAACACTGAAGAAACCACTTTCTCTTCTTCTTCTTCCCCCACCCAAGGGACTGCTTCCAAATACTCCAAACATGATTGTATGCATGACGTGAAACCAAGTTGTTCTGCAACCTAAGATAGAAATAGAAGTATGGAATGTATTGCGCACAATTAGGTTAAGTTTGTCAAGGGTTAGTATTGGATATATTGGTTAATGATATGATGTACTGCTCACTACTACAGCTGAATTATATAAATAGTAAGACAAACAGGTGCCATTGTACTTTGACAACATAATTGAGGGGTACATTCAACAGAATATTATCCTGCACTACAAACATAAAATTACTCCATTCAACTTATTGATATAATACTAACACCGAAAAGTTATTGCCTGAGTACACCTCCAGATCAACACAAAGATGTTTTAATAGAAGAATTTTTCGGGCATTGTTTTCAGAAATCCTCTCTGATGTAGTGAGAACTAGTCCATCCTACATTCAATTCTGACAACGGTAAAATGCCCAAACCCAGATTCATAATTACAAATCATGACATATTTCAGGTTGTTGCTGGCCCAATTGCCACAGAAATCTAGGTTAACTGCAAACCTAAAGGTGGCGCTTTGTGTAAAACCATATGCAACCAAGGCCAGTGAGATTTCAAATTGGGTTAGACATGCCAATTTTCCTTACAATTCCAAATGGCCACCAAGTATCTCAAGTTCTATATCTATAAACAACTTTATTACTCGATTGCTAAATTGGGCCGACTAAAAACTTTTTCAAACAAAATATTGTTATGCTCACTCATACAAGGTAAAGTTGGAGCAATGCCTACAAAAGTATCTAAAATCTCGGTTGAGTGTGCATGCGTGCTCATATATATTCTCTAAGATGAACTCGAACTACGACGAGGATCATCTTTATAAGTTGTAATTACACTTTAGCTATAAACTATTAAACGGAAAGTGAAAATCCACGGATAGTTTTTAAATTACCTTCAATATGCGCAGAACACGTGCAACGCTCTGCTTAATCAACTGCTGCTTCAGTTCTATGCAGTACATTAATCCGACAGTTTCAACATATATCTCAACATCCTCGCATTCATCGATTTCAAGGCAGGGAAAAATAGGCTTCTGTTCTGATATCTTGTGGGCAAAATAACTGCTATTGTCCATTAGTATACTCCTGTGAACACTCAGTTTCACAGCAAATCCCTGCTTTCCCAGCAAAATTACTTTTAGATCACTGGTTCCAGATTCACCAAACTCAATTGAAACCTTCCTTGGCACATTTTCAATCTTTGGTCGAGGCATCTTCTCACTCACTGAAGCATTAAGAACAGGAGCATCTGAACTACAAGTTCTTTGATCGTTGGTTACGAGACCTGTCCTCGGTTTTGTTGTTCCTGGTTTTTTCTCGTTTTCTGAGGTTTGCTTTTTCTGAACTGAAGCACTAGGATTCGGAGGAGACGATTTGGACTTGTTTAGATGATTCTGTGTCTTAAGTGACCTTTGGAAGACAACAGGAGAGGGGCAACACCAGAATCCCTCTGGGGTCACGGCAATTGGAACATTTCTAATTTTAGTTTGACCCTGGTCTACTCTTGTAAGTCTAATTTCAGCCATTTCAGCAAGAAATTTAACCCCTTAAGTCAATTTTTGGCTCTTACAAATGACAAAGAATGTGGACCCTAAAGAATTCCAACAAACATTTACTTCAACCCAGATTAAACAACCTCTCTGTCCTCAATTAAGACAAAGAATAAAAAGGTCTAATTTTGAATTTAAACCTGGGTCCTTGCAATTGACTGAAAGATAGAAGGAGAAAAAGTTCTTACCAAAATGAAATTCAGATTCCAGAAGCAAACATAAATTAATGGACTAAATTCCATTACGATAGAATCTCTCCACAAATACTTGAAGAAAGGAAAAAACATAATCTTTATGGCCAATAATGCAGATCTTCAGAAATCAGAAAACCCATAAACCACAATTGGTAGAAGAAAAGGGTAATTACCAAACATAACTCTTCAAAATGTTGTTCTAATTTCATACAACTAGCCAAAATCTTAGAGACCCCCAGAAAAAGCACAAACACTAACCAACAAACGCGAAATCTGAGGGGACTATCTGAAAACCCAATAGCTTTAATTTATGAATCCACGAGCCCTCTGAAAATGATTGAAAGGTGCTTTGATGTTAAGCATCAAGGGAACTACTTTAACATAGATTTAACAGAGTGGAATGATGAGAAAATATAAATAAATATTTTTTATAATTATAAAAACTGCTGTAAAGAAAGAAGCAATATCAAAAGTTTAAGTAAAATCAAAGAAAGTGATGATAATATATGGGTTGTTTTTGTAACTTCACTTGATTTTTTAATGTCGGTCTCAGTCTCTCAGAATTTCTTGTTTTTTTGCCTGTGCGAATTCTTTTCCTCTCCCACACACACACACAGAGTGATCGAAGAGAGACAAGCATGCATTGTGCAGTGGGGCTCTATGTGTGTGTGTTTTTGTTTTTAAGCTTTTTCCTGTGCAACGTCTTCAACTAAAATCCAGTACTGTCAATTTTAATGCCTAGATTCCTGGCTTCAATTATCAACACCAGATTAATTCTTAATAAACGGTAGTGGATTAAAAAGATTATTGAAATATTTATTACTTACCACTCACCCTCGCCTCAACATCATTTGAGCAAAGCAAACAACAAATTATAAATTTTAAAAAAATTTGATGTCAAGTGAATATTTTTTCTATTCCGTTTGAGATAGTGCTTGATGCGACATCTCATGCTAGTAAGATGAAACGTCCCAAGAAGAAATCCATGTTACATTTGACGAAATTTCACATTGAATGTTAGCTATTGCAACCATCCTCCTTTGCCTAGTTTAAAACTAGCCAAGACATGGTAGAGCTAGTCAAGAAAATCTTTTGAGTAATTTGATTTATCTTAACTTACTTTATGGAAAATTTCTATCATTAACAACTACCGACACCAAAAAGTGATTATGACTAGCATTGTCCAAAAATGAACTTTAAATACAAATACAGAAAAAGTGGAAAAGTGTAGAGACGATAACTGTAGTTTTTCTCGAAAACAAATTATTAAAGTCTATATATTAACATATTGAAAGCTTTTGACCTAATTATAACAATTTCAAACACAACCCAAGTTCTTACATACTACCACTATTTCATTAATCCAATTCTTGACTAATTATAGATATTCCAAAGACAAGTTAACTAATATAGGTCCCATTAAGGGGCATAAGTTGCATACCAAAGCATTAAAAGCAGACCACTAATACGTTGTTTTGAATTACTTTTGACTTTGCTTTTGTGCATTATTTTATGGACAAGGACGGTGCTAGATTACTCTGCAAGTGCAATAATTGAGGAGTGGAAATAAAGCAACATGTTCGAATCATCATAGCCAATGGCTGCATTAGAAAGAACTTTGCTACACGAGTAGGCCATTTTGGTGACATGTTTCAAGCATCCATTGGACAATTAAAAAGAAGAAGAAGAAGCCACACGAGTGCTGACACGTTGCACCTATTTTTAAATCATGTCAACTGTCCGTATTTGAGTAGTTTAAGGGGTGTTTGTTAGATATTTTTATGTAAAAATGCATTTTACAATAGTAAATTGATGTGAAATGTGTGGTTGAGAAATAAGAAAAAGTTTTTGATTAACGTATAATATTATTTTAATAAAGAATGTGTGGTTGAAAAAAAGAGAGAGAAAAATACATTTTTAAAAAAATGACTACCAAACGGGGTCTTAATAAGCATAAAAAGGATCCGTGCCTAGAAATGAATGACTGTAATTTGGGCCCTCAAATATATAGAAAATTGGAACAACACAAGTAATTTTGACTGGACATGCTTCTTATTATAAAGTTGACATTTTTAGATAAATGTTGTGTTAAATCACAAATGCGATATTGCGTACAAGTAGTTAGAGTGGATGTAAGTTCTATGTCGATATAGAAAGAATTGTTTAACTTATCTTATTAATGAAATTATACTAATCTTAACTTCATTTCATTTCATGAGTTTGAGTGGATTATAAGCTAAAAATTAACTGAATAACCAAACGTTGGTTGATTCAGTGAGATGAAGATGTACGTTATATAAACAGAATCACCGTTTTTGTAATTTAAACTTGATTACTGTTAGTCCTTTTTTTTTTTTAATTTCACTATTGATTTTTTATTAAACAATAAAATGTGTTACGTCCCTATCTGAACCACCTCGGAATATCCACCACAAGTCACTCCGACCTGATATACACCCACCCGAATTGTTTCCGAAGTGATCTCTCCAATGTCAACAACCTGCTATCACACTGCGAGCCACAGATAATTCTGTCGAACCGACCGAAGCGCCCTCGCACGTGATGTCTAGGCGAAGTACACTCCGAGGACCTCTATCAGAAGATACGCCGTCAGTTTCAGAAGGAGATCTTTGCCAAAATCCTTTCTGCCCCTAAAGTTTAAATTGATTTGACGTCTCCATGAGGCTAATTGATGTGACTTATCAACTCAACTCGGGAGAAGCAATCACCCGCCCACTCTACAGACGCGGCTGACTGACGCCTATGAGCAGACATATCATACCGTCAGATGTATACATGTGCCCCACATCCAACGGTTCATCTCACCTATAAATACCCAAGGGTTGACAAGAGGCAAAGGTAATGAAACTCTTACTAGATAGCACTCCATAACAAGCATATACATTTTCTTCTCCCCTCTATTATTTTGCACAATCCCTATGTATTGTTCCGATCACCTGAACCTGACTTGATCGTCGGAGCGTATACGGCCGCCATCACCCCGCTGGTCCCGGTCGTGTGTGTTTGACCGTGTGTTGATTGTGCGCAGGAAGGAATACGTGGAGTAGCCCTCGATTGGCCACGTGGAAGGTCCAATTTTCGAAGTCAACAGATTGGCGCCGTCTATGGGAAACATTTCCCGTTCCAAGTTCTGCATTCTCCATTGGAGAGATCACCAGAAGACTATCGACTAACCCTGAAAAGGGCACGTTCTTGAAAAAAAAAACAAAGTCAACCTACAATCAAAGTTCTTAACACCTTCGAAAAGGTAGATAAGATGAGTTATAGTAATGAAGATGAAAATTTTGGAGGACACAGGGTTGCCTTTGAAGAAGAGGTAATCAGAGGAAGCCCCAGTATCTCGTTCCCGAGGCCACACCAGTCAACACAGAGAACGCCCCCTCGAAAGAGACCTGGGCGCCGAAGCCACCTCTTATGTGCAAGGGAACCAGCCATCAGAACCATACTTGGGGGACAATTTCCCTCAAAAATATGAAGAATAAAGGTCGGTAAGCTTCTTCGACCGGATAGGGGAGGATCCTAGTAATAGGGTCCGCCCAGTGAGAAGATCAATTCGGACAGATCAGGAACAAGAACAGACTCATCCTCCTCCTAGAAATAGGAGGGACAGAAGGAACCTAGTCGATTGGGAGAGTCGAGGAGAAGCACCTCCTCCTCCTCAAAACACCCAAGATGATGAAGGGTCGGATGGGCCCTGTCGGTCTTATGAGATCGACGATGATGATGATAATCTCCATTTCTCAAGGGAGATCCGAAGTTTCCCAATGCCAGCAAATTTCATGCCCCCTAAGATCTCCAAGCATGAAGGAAAGGAGGACCCGGAGAAGCACCTCACCAAGTATATGACACAAATGAGTCTCAGGGGAGCCTCGCCCGCTTTGAAATGCAGAGCCTTCCATTTAACGTTAGGCGGAGCCGCCGAAGTTTGGTACAGCAGGCTTCCTCCCCTAAGCATTAGAAGTTGGCCAGATTTGAAGAAGACATTCTTGAATCAGTACCTCTTGCAAAGAGAAGGAGAGGCCCCAGTGCAACGCCTGCAGGACATGAGGCATGCCCTTGGAGAAACGCTAAAAAGCTATCTCGCCAGGTTTACGGACGAAATCACATAATTGATCACCGAAATCGTGCCGCGCAGGGACTTCCTCCACCTCAGAGGCAGGTAGGTCGAGGACCCACAGCATACCTTATTACTCAACAATGGACTCAAGCAGCTCATACCATAGCTCCCACCTCCGGACAGGCGCTGGCTTTCGCCACGTTAAATGCAGTGCCGGTGTTGGCATACGAAAATACTCCTACAGAAGTGGGACCATCCGGAAGAGCTGATAGTAAGAAGAAGAAGAAGAAAAGGTCAAACAGGTCCTTGGAAGGGGCTAGGTTTTGCACGTTCCACCAACTCTATGGGCATGACACTAGTGAATGCCGAGACGTTAATCGACGCCCTGATCGGAGCAACCCACACCATTCCAGCAGAAGCGAATATCCTTGCAGATCTACCTCCCCGAACAGGGAGGAGAGAGGGCATAGAGGGCAATCACCTCGGAGAAGAGAATCTAGGGACCGAGGTCAGTCTAGATAGAGAGATCAGGCCCCATTCTCTGGGAGCCAAGTCATCAGGGAAATCGACACAATCCTTGGGGAACCTCACATCGGCGGCAACACCAGGAACGCCTAAAGAAATTACACGAGGGAAGCAAAGGACCCACCGATGATTACCTACATTGTCAACAAGTCACAAGCAGTCGATAGGATGGCCCCAATCACCTTCTCCCAGGAAGATGCAAAGGGGGTTCATCACCCCCATTGTGATGCGCTGGTTGTAAGAGCCGTAGTTGCTAGAAACGGACTGAAACGCATGCTCGTCGACAATGGCAGTTCGGTGAACATATTGTTCGGCTCCACCTTTAACAAAATGCAGATTGAACATGGGTTGATCCCCATGACCGACCCACTATTCGAATTTACTGGGGACAACATCGTCCCACGAGGGCGGATCACTCTGCCTGTCGAGATGGGTATGGCACCCCTAGTGGCCCAACACTTCATGGAATTCTTGGTGGTAGACCACAGATCGGCCTATCATGGAGTATTGGATAGACCCGCTTTGAAAGATCTTTGGGCCGTCATGTCCATCCACTAATGAAATTCCCAACTAAACATGGGATTGCAACGGTCTGAGGGGATCAAATGGGTTCCAGAGCATGCTACTTAAACTCACTATGAAAGTCAGAGCCCCGAACTGTTAATGTAATCCTAACGGAAGTTTCCACTGAAACCAATACAGACGTGAAAATGCTCGACGTCCCTGAACAAGGACATACCTCTGAGCAAGAGGAAGACGTCGACATGGAAGAGGCCCCTGAACAAGGGCACCCTCTTGATGAATTAGATCCCTGAATAATTGACTCTGAACCAAATGCAACCCCAATGGAAGAACTGAAGACTTTCTTTGCCAACCCAGGAAACCCCAGTCAGGTCTTGCGTATAGGGAAGACACTGTCCCCCGAAGCAAAAGAACAGATGATAAGCTTCCTGAAAAGGAACTTGGATGTCTTCGCTTGGAAGCATGAAGACATGGTGGGAATAGATCCAAGGATAGTTGCCATCATCTTAACATCAACGCCTCTTGTACCCCCCATCGACAGAAGAGACGTGCCCTCATTCCGGAGAGGTACGAGGCATTGAAAGACAAAGTGAACAAACTTAGCCGCAGTGGTTTCATAAGGGAAGCCATCTATCCGAAGTGGATATCCAACCCGGTC